AAGTGTTCATGGGTGGCGGTGGGGTGCGCATAATTTTCAGCAGCCCAGAGAATTGAACATCATGGTGCTTTCTAGAAATTTTGACTTGCAGATGTGGTGGGAATGGGAGGTACCTAGAAGGGAGAGGAGGAGATGCCACACAACAGGAGGGCAGGGCCCGGTCGCAGAGGCCACTGCGTGCCTGTGCGAGGCTTGCTCTGATGTGAGATTTTGTTTAACTGTATATTCTAGAACAGATTTAAAGTTTCAGAAGATAATGCCAAGTTTGTATAGAGTATCTGTACATGATTTCCCCTAATATTAACATCTTACTTGAGTGTGAGTATATTCGTTACAATGATTGAACCCACACCAGGCCGTTCGCATTAACTGAAGTCTGTGCTTGATTCAGATCTCCTTTGTTTTTTCCTGAATGTCCTTCTGGGGCCGGGACCCCGTCGAGGACCCCACATTGCGTTCGGTCAGCCTGTCTCCCTAGGCTCCTACTGGCTGTGACAGTTTCTCAGACTTTCCCTGTCTTTGATGACCTTGACAGTTTTGAGGAGACTGTCCCTCAGTTTGAATTTGTCCCATGATTTCTCATGACTAGACTGCGGTTATGGGTTTTGGGGAGGAAGACCACAGAAGCAAATGGTGATTTTTATGCCATCGTAACAAAGGTGTGCACTATCACCGAGACCTACCCCTGTTGCCACTGACCTTGGTCACCTGGCTGAGGTGATGTTGTCAGGCTTCTCCCTTGTAACCCTCAAGTTACTCTTTCCCCTCCCTTTCCACGCCGCACTCTTTGGAAGAAGGTCGCTATGCAGAGCCCATGCTGAAGGGTGAAAGTTATGCTCCAACTCCTTGAGGCGTGAGGGGTTTTAAGCAGGAAATTTGCATGATCAGATTATCTTCTTAAAACCCAGTGTTGACAAAGATGTGGGGAAATAGACACCCTTCTATATTCTGTTGGTGCAAGTGTAGATTGGAGCAGGGTTTTAGGGGGACAATTTGACAAATCCTTCAAATGCTATGTGCATATACCCTTTGACCCAGCAAGTCAACCCTGCAGGAATGTCCACAGGCAGAGTGTTACCTGGACAGAATTCCAGTGGCGGCACTGTTGGTAGCCAACCAAAGTGTGAAAACAACTGAATCCTCATTCACAGGGCAATGGATGGGCAAACTGGTAGATCGGTATCACGAAATACTAGGCAGCCATCGAAAAGGAGTTAAATCTACGTGTCTGGACATGTGAAGTTCTCCAAGATAGGTTACAAGCGAAAACGTTGTCACAAGGTTGTTATATGTGTGATCCAAATCCACTGCATGAATAAAAGAGATGCACATTGATATGTGCATGTATGGAGGGAAGGTGCATGGCGGGACCCACAAGGAGCCAGAACCTGGTGGCTTTGAGGAGAGGGACCCTGGGAGTAAGGATGGGGAATGGGGAGGGCATTTCTACTTCTCATTTTATACCTGTCTGTAGTGTTTGACATTTTGCTCAATAAGCAAGTATTGCTTTCATGATAAAATGTATTTAATATTAAAAATATTTCTTTGAAGAGTTGCATTTGAAGGAGCCCCCCATGGCTGCTTGTGAAGGGTGAGGCGGGGGATCCAGGGTGGAGTGGAGAGACCTGGTAGGAGATCCAGGGTGATTAGATGGCACCTGTGGAGACAGGAGAAGGTAGGCTGGGGGTCACCTAGGAGGGAGAATCGAGAGGACTGGGTATTTCTTGGTGAGGGTGGGTGGGGGGAGAAGGTGTTTCCCGCAGGGCCCTGGCAGGAAGCAGATGGTGCACTCCAGCTGGGGATGGAGGAGAATAACCAAGGTACTGCTGACCAAAGCCAGGACATGTTAAGGGACGCTAACAAGGGATGGCACAGCACCTGGGCTGGTCGCGTGTGGGAGATGCCACCACCCCCAGGCAGAGGTAGGGCAAGGCCGCCAGAACTAGACAGGGTGGTTGTGGGAGAAGGCGCTTGACAGGAGGGACCAGCCTACCCATGGCCTGGAAGGAGGGGTCCTGGAGCAGATACCCCAACCTCACTCCTGCCTCCCTATCTCCTCTTGGAGATGGTACCTCCCGTTGGCCAAACCCAGCTGGAAACCACAGAGCTTGCCCATGCAGGGCAGCCTCCTGGGTGACAGCTGGTTAGGGAAGAGTAGAGGAGACCCAGCACCCAGAGGGAGGGGTGTAGGTGCATGTCCAGATTCCTGGCTTTGGTGCTGAGGGATGGAGGGCGCCTTGGAGATGGGGGCAGAAGGAGAAGCAGGTTTGCAGGAGGATGAGGAGTACCACTGGGGTCTGCGTCAGGTGGAGGAGGCTGCGTGCTTCACAAACAGCCCTGCAACCTGGTAGTGATGGGGGGGAGCGGTTTCAGATATTGGGCTGGAGCTTAGATTCCAGTTGGGCTAGTTTCTCATGGCAGACCCTTTTCCTACGGGGACCCTTTGCGTTCACCCACCCCGCTTCTACCTGCTCGGGCACACAGGCCTGTGTCTGAGTGTAGAATGGGCCCTAGATGGCTTTTGTTGGGGGCACACATCAGGGCCTGGGCATCCCCTAGTTCTTCAGGGTTTCCAGGGTCACTGCTCTGGGACCTGTGGCCCTGTAAGGCAGCCTAGGGACACAGGGTCTCTGGCTGGGTGAAGCAGAGGGGAGGGGGCATCCTACTAAAGCTTGCTGAGACTAGTCTCAGGACGACAGGGCCTTGGGCCACGGCATCGTACCCAGGCAGGGGCAGACCATGAAACAGCTTGGTTTTCTGTGAAAGGGCAGCTATGAGCTAGGCAGGGGGAGGGGCACTGTCCCACCGCCCTGTAGGGGACTGGAGTTCCTTCAGGATGGCGACCAGCTCCTCAGAGGTACGAAGACCCCAGAATGATGGAAATAGGGTGTTTGCAGGGAGAACAAGGAAACTATTGGCACCCTCAGCACATTCCATAGGATTCTATAATTAGATTCGCTCTCAGCAGGGCCCAGGAGAGACGGGACAATGGGAGGGGCAGAAAAGGAGCCAGGAACTGCCTCAGTGCTGAACTCGCCTATTCTCCCCTCCCCTACCCCATTCCAGTGCTTTTAAACCTCTCCATCTGATTGGCCCTCACTGATCCTCAGGGGAAGCAGCCTCTCAGAGGAATGGGACTGGTCCAGGGTCATACTCACTTGTCCAGGACTTACTCCTGACCCCAAATTCTGCCCTTTCTTTGTGGGAGGCTATTTTCCCAACCCCCTTTGGTGACAGGCTCACCCCGATTCCCTGCAAGGCTGGTACATAATTTATGAGATCCAGCGTAAGATGAAAATGTAGAGCTCCCTGTTAAAAAATTATTAAGCATTTCAGGGTGATGCCTGCAGAGTACTAAACCGTTCTAAACGCAGAGCCCCGTGCAGCGGCACAGATCTCCAGCCCTGGCAGCCAGCCCCACCCTCAGTACCTCCTAGTGCTAGCCTCCTCCTTCCTCCACCCCCTGACCCCAGTCAACCCCGAGAACCCAGCACTCCACCCTCCTAGGCTCCAGGTTAGGCCAGGGGCTCCTGGGTGTCCTACAGACCCTGGGTGTCCCTAGATGGTACTGGGGAGCATCATCTCTGGCAGTCTGCGGGCTTCCTGAGGAACTCCCCCAGAGTCTGCAGCACCCAGCACAGGCCTGTGGATATTTTGTAAGTGACAGAGCACATGTCTTCCGGCTAGGACATTTAGGGCAGCTCGGAAGCCCATCCCACCCTGACTCCCTGGGCACAAGCAGGGGAAGCTCCCAGACTCGGCACTTCCTTCTGGGTTCACCCAGGTCCAATCAGGACCCACAGCCAGGTCTCCCTAGTTTCTGGTTCCCCATGCCAGGGTGAAATGGCCCCTCCCTTTCTTGGAAAAAAAGTGAGGACTAAGGCAGATTTAGTCAGTAAGGAGATTTCTCAGAAAGCAGCTGTAAAGTTCCGTGACCGGGTGAGAATTAGTAGATTAATATCCGACGCCAGGCTTGGGGCTTGGGGCTCTGGGCTCTGGGCTCTGAGCTCTCCAAATTTCTCCTTCCAGTCAAAAGGAGTTGTACTTCTGGAACAGATAATTGATATCATTCCCATTGTACAGATGAGAAACTACAGCTCAGAGAGGTCAAAATGCTTTAAGTTGGCTGATGTGCAATTTAAACCTAGTTCTGGCCCAACCTGCCTCCCAGGCCCCTGGGCTGAGTCAGGCCCTGTCCCCACCCTCATGGCCCTCACTAGTAACTGAGACATACACAGAGTAAGATACACAGGGAACTCAGTGGAGGTGGAGGTCATTGTGAATAGGGCAGTCAGGGGAGACTTCCTAGAGGAGGTGGAGGAGAGAAGCACCTGAGCAGTCTTTGAAGGTCAAACGTTATTCTCTTCAGGGTACCTGTGGCAGGTAAGCAGAACAGCCTGAGCAAAGGGGTAGAGGATGGCTGGACATGGAGGGTCTGGGATCTCCATACAGGGCCTAGGAGTCCAGAGGTCCTGGCAGGAGTCCCTGAGTGGACAGCAACCAGGCTGAAGCACTTGGCCTTGGTCCTCTGGGCCAGAGAGCTCTGGATGGGGGCAGGCTGGACACTCTGGGGCAGCTATGAGAAGGATGGGGTTCCATTCTGGGCTGCAAGGAGCAGGGAGTAGCTCAACTATCGAAAGGCCAGGGGGTCAGACCTGGGTGGTTCAGAAGCAGCAGAAGGAGATAATCAAGGACTGTTTCATAGAGTTTTCCCTGCTTACTAACTCCTGGACCTTGGATCAAGGACCTGCAGAAATCTCAGTGCCAGCAGGCAGCCTCCGACTGCACAGGGTGACAGCGGGCTCAGAAGCCCAAGGGTCTGCCATCACTTGTTCAGGTGCTTACACTGCCCAGGTCCCAGGAGAGAGTTACAAGAGAGAAGACAGTGATGATCAAGCTCCCAGAAACACTCCTTTGATAGATGGGAACACTGAGGCTGGCAGCGGGAAAGGGCTTACCCCAGACTATACCCCAGCCAATAAAAGGCGTGGCCAGCTGAGAACATTGGTCCAGGATGGGTCTTTTTATTCTTTTTGAAAAGAGAAGCAAACATTGGTGAGAATGCACATGTCAGGGGCCACTGGAGCAAGCATTATGGTTTGTTTTGACTGTGTAAGATGACATCAGGCTCAGAGACTAAGTTCCCTGTCCAAGGGCCCACAGCTGAAAAGTAGGCAGGTGATTCTTTGCCAAGTCGGTTTTCTCATCTGTGTAAGGTGGGATCAGGCTGGGAGAGGCTCACAAGGAGCAAAAGAAGGGCTTGGGAACCTCTCCACTGTTGTCCAGGAGACTGGCTCCTGGCAACCAAGGTTAGATCTAGAGGCTTGATTGTATAGTGAATTATTCAGATAGTACTGTGAACTTCCATCAGGAGGAATTAAATGTCTGGTTGTCCTCATTTTGTGATATTAGCTGTTATTGAAGAACATTGACTAGATCAATTTTCTCATTATTGCACTAGGGCTTGCAAAATGAAGATATTCTGATATTCCTTTACCATTTGTTACCTAGAATATCTCTATCAAGGGAAATTTCTCTTTATCAACTATTAGTTTACCATGAGGCATAGTCACTGCAGGTGTTACAGTCTAAACAAGTATGTGACAGAATTAAATTTATCTTTTTCTGAAAGAAAATCTCAAAGGACCAAATAGCATAAAATAAACAAAGAAAATTGTTAAGCAGATATTCCCCCAAACCACTATACTTTAAAGATTCACAGGCAAATCCTTAAAGCCTTTTAGAAATGTATGTCTTGAATGCTATGTAAATGGTTCCAGAGCATAGAGGAAGAAGAGCTTCCAGTTATTTTCATGAAAACTATTTAACATTGACAGCAAAACACAAGAAAGCACAGAATAGAACACAATAAGTCAGCTCACATTAATATTGAGGGTGCAAGTATCCTAAGTAAAAAAATTGTTTTAGGAATATACTTTAAAATATAGGCATACATTAAGGAAATAACTTACTGCTGTAACAAAGCTTTGGAGTTTATACCAGAAATGCAAGGATGGTTCAATTTTAGAAAATCAACAAATTTAGGTTAATATCAATAATGTAATATTAATATAAATGTCATATAAATATAGTACATCAAAAGAGGGAAAAATCATGCTATTTTCTGTATAGATATCGAAAACACATTTGATAAAATTCAACATCCATTCCTGATTTTTAAAAACTTCTTGATAAAATAGAAATAGGTAGATATTTCCTTAATGAGACAATATCAAAGCAAATGCCATCTATTTGCATAATGATGAACAATTTGAAGCATTCCCAACAAATTTGTCAGCAAGAAAATGATGTCTCCTTTCAACAGTCTTATTTAACATTACTTTGGAGATATTAGCCACTATAATTTCACACACACAAAAAAATAGAGATATAAGAATTGGGAAGAAATAAAGAGACAAAAGTGCTGTGTTATTTGTATATGATATGATTATACACTTGAAAAACTTTAAAGAACTATTACAAATAAGATGACTTTGTACAATAAATGGGTAAAAATTAAAATATAAAAATTAATAGCTTTCTTATATGACAATGAGTTAGAAAAGATAAAGAAAAGATTCCATCTACAAAAGTAGCAAAAATTATAAAATATCTTGCAACATGTTTAATAAGAAACATGCAAGATCTGTATGAAAAAAGTTTTAATGCCACTGGATACCTAAAACACAATAAGAATAAATGGAAAATGATGTCCTGTTCTTGAAAAGGAAGAGGGTATTTTAACAAAATCAATTCCTTAAATTAATGTATACATTTAGAATGATTCCAATAAAAATAAAAATAGAGTTTTTCCTCAATATATATATAACGGCTAAAATATGGTAGATATTTAGTTTTAGCTTATGTGAAGTTCAAAATAGATATTCCTGATTGGCAGTTTTTCTCTCTCCCTTTCTTTCTCTCTCTCCCTTTCCCTCTTTACTTCCCCTCTCCCATTCAGATTTGTTCAATCTTGTGTCTCTGTTATTTTCAACACATCATTTCCAAGGTGACTAGGCTCATCTGCCTCCAGTTGGTAGAGGAACATGAATGACCAAACATTGAAGGATTTTAGGGACCAGTCCTAGAAGTGATACACATCACTTCCACTCACATTTCATTGGCTAGAATTCAATCAATCATATGACCACATTTAATTATAAGAAAGACTAGGATATGTAGTCGATCTGGTTGCTTAAGAAATAGAGGAACTGAGTTGAAGCACTTTTGTCATGGGAAAATTGACACATTCTAAAGTTTACATGAAAAATATTCAGGAATAGCTGGGGAACATTATAAACAATTTTATGCAAATTTTGACAACTTAGATAAAATGGACAAGTTCCTTAAAAATGCAACTCTAGCAAAACTGACAAAAGAAGAAACAGAGAACCCAAATAGCCCCATTCTATGAAAGAAATAAAATTTACAATAAAAATTCTTCCCACAAAGAAAACTCCAGGTCCAAATGGTCTTTGCTGGTGAATTCTACCAAACATTTAAGGAAGGAAGAAATAATATTAATTCTACACCAACAATTTCAGAAAACAGAGCTTTTAAAAATCAGCAATGAATGCCAATTTTTGTCATCTATAGAGAAAATAATACGAACACTTCCTGACTCATTTTAGGCGACCAGTATAATACTGATATAAAAAACCAGTAAAGATATTACAAGAAAAGTAAATGCAGACAAATATTCCTCATGAAATTCAGGAGTTCGAGACCAGCCTGACCAACATGGAGAAACCCCGTCTTACTAGAAACACAAAAATTAGCCTGGTGTGGTGGTGCATGCCTATAATCCCAGCTACTCAGGAGGCTGAGGCAGGAGAATTGCTTGAACCCGGGAGGCGGAGTTTGCAGTGAGCTGAAATCACGCCATTGCACTCCAGCCTGAGCAACAAGAGCAAAATTCTGTCTAAAAAAAAAAAATTCCTCATGAATACAGATGTGAAAACTCTTAACCAAATATTAGCAAATTGAATTCAGCAATATATTAAAGGAACAATATGTCATAACAAGTGAGGTTTGTTTCAGAAGTGCAAGCATTCGGAAATAAATGTAATTCACCATATTAAAAAAAATAAAGGAGAAAATTCACAGGATTATTTCTACAGATGCAGAAAAATAATTTGACAAAATTCTAAATCTATTCGTTATGAAAAACTGTTGGCAAACTAAAAGTAGATGGCAAATTACTTGAACTGATAAAGGCCATCTACAAAAAATCTGCAACTAACATCATGCTTAATGGTGAAACATTTAATCTCTTTTTCCTAAGTTTAGCAATCAGGCAAGAATGTCTACTCTCACCATGTCTATTTGACATTGAGCTGAAAGTTTTAGTGCATTAAAGTAAGAATAATAAAAGGGACCAAGAATGGTGGCTCACGCCTATAATCCCAGCACTTTGGGAGGCCAAGGCAGGAGGATCATTTGAGGCCTGGAGTTCAAGACCAACCTGGGCAACACAGACCTTGTTTCTGTACAAACACGCACACACACACACACACACACACACACACACACACTAGCCTGGCTTATAATAATTTGTTACTTGAAAGGCTGAGGGGGGAGGATCACTTGAGCCAAGGAGGTTGAGGTTGTAGTGAGCCAGGATCATGCCACGGCACTGTAGCCTGGATGACAGAGGGTGGCAGACCGAGACCCTGCCTCAAAAAAAACAGAAATAAAAGACACAAACATCAAAAAGGAATGAATTAAAATGTGGAATTTGTAGATGACATATTGTTTAATCAGAAAACTCTGTGGAATTTATGAAAATTACTAGAACTAGTAAGTAAATTTAGCAAGTTTGCAGGTTATGAAGTGAGTTTATAAAAATCAATTTTATTTCCATATACTGGGGAAAAATAATTGAAATGAAAATTTAAAATATCATTTCATTGTCATCAGAAAACATCAACTACCGGAAACAGCAAATAAAGTATGTGTAAACATGTGTCTAAAAATATGGCTAAGAGAGGACTTGATATGGTTAGGTGTCCATTCTTCCCAAAATGACGCGTAGATTCAACACAATCCCTATTATAGTGAGAGTAGGCCCTTTTAAAGAAGTAGCTGATTTGAAATTTTATGTGAGAATTTAATCGTCCAGCATAGCTAAAACAATCTTGAAAATGAAGAACAAGTTTAAAGAACTAACTCTGCCTGACTTAACAACTTACTGTAAAGCAACAGTAATCAAGACAATGAGACACTGATGTAAGTATACACAAATAGAACAAAGGAACAGAACATAAAATTCAGAAACAGATCTTACTTATATGGTTAAGTTTCAACTGAGGGACCAAAACAATTCACTGGAAAAGGAACTTCTTTTTGAACAAATGGTGCTGGAACAACTGAATATCGCTATGGGAAAACGTTAAACAAAGTCCTTATCTCACTCCAAACACAGACATTAATTTGATGTGAATCATAGACGTAAATGAAAAGCCATAATCACAGTTTCTAGAAAAAAAATAGGAGAATGCTTTTGGGGCACTGAGGTAAGCAAAGATTTCTTAGAGGTCAGGATATAAAATAACCATAAAAGAAAACAATTGATAAACTTTGAAATTAGATACTTTTCCAATCAAAAGACATAATTGAAAAAATGACTTTGGGACACCAAGGCAGTATTATTGCTTGAGCCTGGGAGTTCAAGACCAGCCTGAGCAACATAGTTGCTCAACATAGTTGCTCACCCAATTACCAGAAAATTGAAAAATTAACAACATCACAAATACAGCACAGGTTGTGGATCAGTTGGAATTCTTATATACTGCTGGTGGAAATATAAAATGGTACAACTATTTTTTTT